GATGATTTTAGCACAAAATGGCCGCATTCGGCCATCTTGAATCAGATCGTGAAACAAATTGACGTGCATATGTATAATATCATGTATGATGTATGTGTGAAGTTTGATTGTGATTGGTCCAGGCATTTTTAAGATACAGGTCCGGACGCACGCACAGACGCACGCACACACGGAGGTCAAGACATAAGTCCCCGTTTTCGGACTGCGTCCGAACGGGAACTAACAAAGTGGCCGCCAGTCAGCCATATTTGTTCGAATCACAGGAAAAAATATGACATGCACCTATAACCCAATATGTATGATCACCATACCAACTTTGATCCAAATCGGCCTAGTCAGCTCTAAGAAACAGCTCCGGACATGTAAAAATTATGATTTAGCACTTTTACATGAAATTTGGGCGTCAGTCAGCCATATTGAATCGAATCAGAAAAATAATGATGGTGTAGTTGTATCTCTTGGTATACTATCTTTGTACAAAATTTAAACAGAAACGTTCATAGCATTCAAGAGAAAGTAGTATGGGTATCATGAAAAACAAAATGGCAGTCAGTCAGCCATATTTGTTCAAATCACAGAAAAAGTATGACGTGCACCTATAACCAAATATGTATGATCATCATACCAAGTTTGATCCAAATCGGCCAAGTCATCTCTGAGAAACAGCTCCGGACATGTAAAAATGACGATTTAGCGCTTTTACATGAAAATTGGGCGTCGGACAGCCATATTGAATTCAATCACAAAAATCATGTTGGTGCAGATGTATCTCTTGGTATACTATCTTTGTACAAAATTTAAACAGAAACGTTCATAGCATTCAAGAGAAAGTAGAATGGGTAACATGAAAAACAAGATGATTGCCAGTTGGCCGTATTTGTTTGAATCACTTAGAAAAAATAACGTGCACCTACAACCCAATATGTATGATCATCATACCATCCAAATCAGCCCAGTCATCTCCGAGAAACTGCTGCAAACACGTTTAGGTATCAGAAATAGCAAATTTTACATCCAAAATGGCCACCAGTCAGCCATTTTTGCTCTGATCATAAAGTAACTTGACTCGCATATGTAAGACATTATGTATTGTCTTCATGTAAAGTTTGAATGAAATCCGGCAATGGGTGTCCAACAAACCCAAATTAATAAACTTCATTTCAGAGTTCAAATACTTGTTTGCTGATAATATGCTTATCATGAGGGAACTTGTAGTTTTGTCCTGACACCTGTGGGCCACTGTACTTCACCTTAGCAGACACTCAGACTGATTCCTGTATCCTACAATATTATTCTTACACTTACTCGTTTTGTTATTTGATACCCAGCAAATGCCTTTAGTCTTTCTGCTTTCTCTTCTTCCTGTCCCATACTAATCCATGTGTCTGTTACAATAATGTCAGCCAAGTCTAATGCATCCATTGGGTCATGAGTCATGAACAACTCTGTTTTATGCTGAAATATTAAAGCAAGTTAACATGGTTCTGTTGCCATAGTAAAAAATTCACGTCCACTAGATTTTGATGCAAGTATGGACCAATGGGGAAAACACACTCCCTGTACATTTACATTGTAAGACACAAGTATCGGTATTGAGTCTTCTGTATATGTACCAGAATAAACAAATTCAATTCACCCATTATATGTCAGAGATAAGGCTCTGGAACAGCATTTTAAATGTCTGCCAAAGGGCATTTTGAATCGGCTCCATAAATGACATACATCAAGTCTCCATGATGTTCTCTGTGGAAAATTTAAACAACATTTATTCCATACATGTACATGCTCAAAATCTTGTTGTAGGTTACCTACAACAAGACATGACACACGGCGTCCATTTTCAGTCTAAGTTCATATAGGTATACATATGTACACATTATTTGTATACCTATTTTGAATCTGATCTAGAAAAACTAAATGAAAATTCAACAAAATATCATTGATAAGGAATATCACAGATATGGCTTTGGAACAGCATTTTTGAAAAAAAAATAACTGTCAGATGGCAACAAATATAAAATAACATGCAACAAGATTGCATTATTCCCAATGTACATTTGTACTATGTTTAAATAATTGTCGAATTGTCCATGCATGACAAAAATGCTTGATTTTGATGAATTTTTTTCACTAAAACTGGCCATCTTGAATCGAATCACAAAATGAATACATGTGCATATTTATCCAAAGATGTATAATGTAGGTACATTGTATTAAACTTGAAAATATCATTTCAGACAAATCAAAGATACAGGAACAGATGAATAGTAAAAATTGCTATGAGTCAGCAATTATGAATATTTATCATTTTGAATCTGCTCTGTGAAATATGTTCCCATGACTTCCATGCAAACAAATTTGAATGGAATATGACCCTAAGCAGAAATGTTTGATTATGATGCACTTTTAGAACTTGTACGCCAACAGTTCTGTCATCTTGAATAAGACTGAAGTAAATGCATATGTGCAAGATGATGTGTTTGCATGGTTTGTGGCACAAGGACAATACTTTTGAAATGAAATTCTGAATGTGATTGGTCTAGGTATATCTGTAAGTACAGATAGGATGACATAAACATGTACAGTAATATAAAATGATGTCACTTACTTTATTTGCCAGTTCCTTAGCATCCAATACAACCTGACTATCTGGAGCATAACCCTATAGGAGAAATACAACGTTATTATACATACCTTAACACATAAAGGTTTTATTTATTGAAGATGCATATTACCCACTCATCTATACTATCATTTCTGGTCAACATACTGGAGAC